AAAAGTGACTCAATAAACATCTTGTTGTATTAGGTTCCATTGCTGAATTTTTACACAACTTATTAAGCGAAAAGATGCATTCAGAACAAGCATAAGCGTCAAACTACAAATAAGAAACCTCCAAAGCTCTCCGAGATTGAAAGCAGTCAATTCATGGAAGTTAATACGCTATATAATTATTGTTTTGTCCTTACGCCCAATTTTTGAGGCACTCGACTTTATTATAAAATTTTCCTTTACAGTATTCTACTACATAATAAATTCAACAACTGATCATATTTAGTATAAAATTTTATAAATAGAGTTAATCTTAAACGCTCAAAGAAACTGATTCATCGTTAATCAAATGCTTATAATTTTTTAAAGCATTAGCAACGTCTTTATTAATAAACTTCTCAGTTTGTTGAGGAGCTCTACCAACAAAGGTGGATGGGTCTAATAATGTGTCCAACTCATTCCAGATAGGCTTAAAGTATTCAGTGGCTTTAACTCTTTGAATCAAGTCATTATCACCACCTTCCTGTTTAACAACAGCACTAGCTTGGTGAGACAAGACTCTGATTTCTTCGTGACATTCTTGTCTAGATCCACCCTTTTCAACCATAGCCATGATGATATTTTCAGTGGCCATGAATGGCAATTCAGAATTAATTCTTCTTTCAATAACCTTTGGATAGACAACTAATCCAGAGGAAATGTTGTTCATGGTAGATAATAAAATGTCCGCAGTTAAAAATGCGGATGGAAGAGAAATTCTTCTAATGGCAGAATCATCTAAGGTTCTTTCAAACCATTGGACGGAGGCGGTCTGAATAGCATCGTTTAATAAACCACCCATGTGTCTTGCTAAAGAACAGACTCTTTCACATCTCATCGGGTTTCTCTTGTAAGCCATAGCAGAAGATCCGATTTGTGACTTTTCAAAAGGTTCTTCAATTTCCTTCAAGTTGGCTAACAATCTGATATCGGTAGCAAATTTGTGCGCAGTAGCACCTAAGGAAGCTAATGGTGACAATACATCAATATCAATTTTTCTAGAATAAGTTTGACCAGTAACTGGATAAACATGGTCAAAGCCTAACAATTCTACTACTCTTTCATCTAATTGTTCAACTTGGTCATGGTTACCATGGAATAAAGACAAGAAAGAAGCCTGAGTACCAGTAGTACCCTTAACACCTCTCAAACCGATATCATTTCTAGCTCTTTCCATGTTTCTTAAATCCCATAACAATTCTTGAATCCATAATGTAGCTCTCTTACCAACAGTTGTCAATTGAGCCGGTTGGAAATGAGTCCATCCTAAAACTGGCAAATCTTTGTGCTTTACTGCAAATTCAGATAATCTGTTAATAACATTAACCAATTTTGGAATCAAAATGTCATAAGCATCCCTCAAGAAAATCAAATCAGCATTGTCTGTGACGAAACATGATGTAGCACCTAAATGGATAATACCAGCAGCATCTGGACAAGTCTTACCAAAAACATGAACGTGGGCCATAACGTCATGTCTAACGATTGCTTCTTCCTTGGAAGCAGCTTCGATTTCTTCATCAGTGATCTCTAAGTGTGCTTTCATTTGTTCAATAGCCTTGTCTGAAATCATGTCTAATCCTACTTCCTTCTCAGCAATAGCCAAGTTGAGCCATAACTTTCTCCAGGTTGAGAATCTGTTTCTCAAAGAAAAGATTTTGGACATCTCTTCCGACGCATATCTGGAAGATAATGGAGTGGAGTATTTATCGTTAGCTGACATTGTGTTGTTTAGTTCTTATAGAATAAATCTGAAAACTGTAGAAAGATGATTGAAAAATCCATTTCAATTAGCTTATTAGAAGTCATATTGGAAATTATTAGAGCATGACTCGGATACTCATCTCGCGAAATTTGACTCCATACATCATCGATTCATCAAAGGTGTATACTAAATACTATATATTAAATATGATACAAGAGACATACTATAGTAAGATATTCCATAGTGATCATGTATTTCAATGCTGAAGGCTGTGATGGCCGAAATAGCACCGTTTTTGACGTTGCTAGTACATGTGCAACCAATTGCGAAATTTCTATGACATAAGATACTCTCTCCTATACTAGCCATTGGCCTGCAGACGGAACTCTAGATGGCAGAGAACATCAGTTGAGTAGACTCTGGGATTCAAGTTACCTGAATACATACAGCCTAGAGTGTTTATTAGTTAGATTGGCTGCGAACCACTAATCTCGACACCAAAGGATCGGGTTGTTTAATTTATTCTCTGCGAACATATCGAATACTTCAATTATGCTTTTTACGATATTTCTCCATAATTTCATTTTATTCATGTTGCAGTGATGTTAATGACTATGATTTTCGTGTGGTTCCATTCGTTCGTCCAAGGCATCGTTTTGTTCTCCCTCTGCCATATCGATTCCATTAGCATCGTCAGACCCGTCTTCCGACTCATCGTTACGTCTCTGCTCTTCGTCGTTCTTCAAGTTCTGATCTTCTTCATACTGTAAAAATAAAGAGTAGACCGCTCCTTTAAAAAGCGTATACACAAGTCCGATTTTCATTTCCAAGTTTCTCAAATTATCCAAAAGCTTGTCGGCAGATCCACTATTCTGGACCTCACCACCATCCTCGGACGACGAACTCTTACCCAATGGGTGGTTGTTTTGGTTTGTGGAGGAGTTTAGCTGTTTGACCTCATTAGATAATGTGTTCAATTGGACAGCCAAAAGTTGATACTGCGAAAGAATTTGGCCCTCGATTGGCGAAAGTAATGTTGACTTGCTATAGTCAGTAGCATATATATCCTTACGAGCCATACTACTAGTGGCTCCACCTGAAGAAGTTGAGTTTGTTGATGTTGAATCGAATTTTATATCCCGATTATATAAAAGTTCACTTATGCTTACGTAAAACAAACAAGCCTTTAAAACAATAAATTTCAAGTCAAAATGGTAGCAATAGAAAGAATAACGACGAATTATTAGGTAAAATACGGTAAAAAAAACCTATAAAGACAGATAAATATAAGTCAATCGATATATACTATGTCTACAGTACCCAATGGTAATAATCAAATGGCTGAACATGCGGCCGCTAAAGCAGAAGATGCATCTAAGGCCACGCCAATCACCAATACAACAGTAGCTCCTGAACATAAGAAGAAGAAGCTTGTTAGAAAACAAGCAGGATCAAATCAATTGAAATACAAGGCATGGCAATTTGGACACATTTTCACAATCGTGTTTGGAGTGATTACGTTTACTTTCCAGATTTTCCTCTTGCCAAATAAATGGTACATCAATTCGATTTGTTATAGATTATCATTGTTGGGATCAATGGTTGCATTGACAGCCACCTTTTCGCATAAGTTCGGGATCAAGTTCTTGCCGCCATTTCCCACTTTGATTGCACAACAGAATTTCCAGTACTTGATCTTGGCTATCATCTGGTGCTTTACGTTTAAATCAATTTTCAAGATTATCCCATACTTTTTGATTTCTACGTTGCAATTGTCTGCCCACAAGAACATCGAAGCGGTGACAAAGCACCTGGCTCAACTTGCTTCCTTCATAGCGTATGACGAGTTGTTCTTGATTGTATACTTGCTTCTTAGAACCTTATTGTTCAGAAACACTTCAGGATACCAGTTGACTGCATTTTTATTTTTCTACTGGTTGAGAATCTTATACAACAAGGAAACTGGTAACTTGTTTAGATCAGTTGTTACTCGTCTCGATGGTAAGGTTACAACTTCAACTAAGAACGAGAAGGTTCTTCACTATTGGTCTAAAATCAAAAAATTCTTAGACGCCAAGCAATATGATAAGGTTTAAAATGGATTGTTTCATGCTACTGGACCCCTTAGAAAAGATCCATAGTGCTGTTTACGATTGCATCCATTCTAGATTCATTAGTTTGTATATCTGCTGGAATTTTAATCCCTTATTTATAAATCACTGCCTTGTATATTTGTGGTGATTTCTACAACCCGTTTCTTTATTATATATATTTATATATAGTGTGTTATTAACATTATTTTGTTTTAAATGTCAAAATTGTATTATGGGCCATAATGTTTTAGTGTCGTGCGTAGAACTCTGAACCTCAAATTGACCTTAGGGGGTTTTCATTCATAGTTATCATACTTCTTTATTCAATTGAATACTCCGAATAATTCCAGTAGAGTTGACTCCTGTAATTAAGAATGTCATCACCGATAGTTTACCAATTAGGACACGAATCGATTAAAGACCACGTCTTTTCTTCTAATCGCCAGATTTTGGCCATTACCAAGCTGAATACTGTCGAAATCTACCAAACATCGCTCAATTCATCAAGTAAGCCAAAATTGATCACTATCTTGAAAGGACATGATAAAACAGTTACTTCCGTGGACATTTCTCCAGATGGATCCAAAATTTTGACCTGCTCTCAGGACAGAAATGCTTTGGTTTGGCAATATGATCAAGCAGACCAAGAATATAAGCCTACCTTAGTTTTATTGCGTATAAGCAGAGCAGCTACTGTTTGTAGATGGTCTCCTTTAGGTAATAAGTTTGCAGTTGGATCATCCGATAGAATCATTGCTGTCTGTTATTACGAACCAGAAAATGATTGGTGGGTATCTAAGCACTTGAAAAAGCCATTGAAATCTACTATTACCAGCTTAGACTGGCATCCAAATAACATTTTGTTGGCGGGTGGATCTACTGATGGACATGCCAGAGTATTTTCTACTTATATCAAGGGATTAGATGAAAAACCTGAACCATCAGTTTGGGGCTCGAAATTGCCATTCCAAACATTATGTGGCGATTTTGTCAATGAAACTGGTGCTTGGATTCATGATGTTTCGTTCAGTCCTTCTGGAGATTCATTAGCCTTTGTTTCCCATGACTCGTCTCTTACAGTTGTGTATCCAGAAGGTGAGGGATTAGCACCTAGAGCAATTCTTAATGTCAAGACCAATTATTTGCCATTTAAATCATTGATTTATTCAAGTGAGAACAGAGTTTTTGTGGGTGGTCATAACTGTAACTTGATTGCTTTCGAAGGAGATGAAAATGGATGGAAAGAGGCTTTTAAGGTAGAAAAGCAGAAGGATTTAATCAATGACACAACAATCCCAGAAGCTGAAGAAGAAGAGATTTCTTCCCATGATGCACTTAACATGTTTAAACAATTAGACTTGAAAGGTAGAGTTAACAAGCCTAGTGCTAAAGGTGCTGGTAAGGTCTTAAGTACTATCCACCAAAATACTATTTCAAGTATTAAATTATATAACGACAACCAAATTAGTACCTCAGGTATCGATGGTAAGGTAGTTATTTTCACGATTTAGGCTCTACGGAACAAAAATATGACTTTTGATGTATATTAAGTATATATAGTTCAATAAACATATAGATCTAGAATGTTAGTATTTATGCTTTTGCAATAAAAATGAACAGGCAAATTATATTTTATGTCAGATATTTGAGCTTTGGTAAGGGTTATCTTCAGGTATTTTTGGTTCAGAAGCAGAACTGAAAAGTAAAGTTTATCATCATAAAAATATAAAATTGCACGTATCGAAATCAAGTACTTACACTTTTAATCCTAAACCAGTTAGTATTAGTGCAAAAAAAAGTGCTTTAAGGAAATTTCAACCTTTTGAAGGTCAGATGGTGATGCATGTTTTATCCATGGCTCAGGATTCACCGGATTGAATGTTGTGTAACAATCATCATAGAAAAAGTTGTATTCCTTTATATGAAACTAAAACATACTATTTATGTTAGAACGCTATTTCTCTTTCATAGTCTCATACTAGTACAACATTTCCAAATATAAATCATAAACGAAGAATTCCTAAATTTATTTTTGTCTTGCATATGCATCCTCAGTCATTTGTTATATCATTGGGTTTAATCATGATAATAGATATATGTTGTCATTGTATAAGTTTTCGAAAGCTTGAAACATACCAATACTTCAATTCATTGTAGTAGACTTTAGGTATTAAAGAAAACATACAAATGAAAATTTTTTTTCTCCTAATGTATGTCTAATTCGCTACTCCGGGTAATAATAAGGACAGAATCTGACTCTTAGGGTTACACTGCAAACTTCACCTTATATATATATAAGTTTGAAATTTGAAAGTCTAATACATATATAGGAAGGACCATATAGACTTACGTGGTAAGTGGTTTGAAAATTAGGTTTAGTTTATTTTAAAAAATATGTCTTCTCGTTGAAAGTGTTGGAAAGTCCTACTCCGTTTGCACCCAAACACCGAAGTGACAATCTACGAGTACTAGAGATATGGAAGACCTTGGGAAACACATATCTTAGTTAGAATGTAGCAGAGACTCTAAGGATCGTTCGTTTGCATTTCATACATGTAGGATATATAGAAAGTAATTTTGTAAATTTACTCTGAGCAACACTGACGAAAATAGAGATGAGAAATCTCACGTTAGATAAGAAAATCCAAGTAAAGAAGGTGGTATTCAAATTAGTATAATGTCCAATTCTAACTTTAATTATGGACCAAGCGAGCAAGATCCACTTTTGCCCACACTACTGATACCAATAACTAAACCGGATAGTTCATACGAGAGAGCTAGTGTTAGCGTACCAAAATCCCCATCAACATCAGCACTCTTCAACAAATATTCACCAAATCACAGCTCGAACATAAGACATGGTTCTCAGTCAGCATTCAATGAACCAGGGGATGATAAAATAGGGAGAAGCGCAGGATTGACGGATACCTATCGACAAGGATCTGTTAGTCATCAGGTACCACCATTATTCCATCGCTTATTAAGTGGGCATTATACGGTGACCAACCCAAATATGGGATTGGAGTATTCTAATATGAACTCAAGCAATTTGAATCTTAATTCTAGTGGGATTTTAGAGAGTAGTGCCAGTATTTACTCGGTGCCTGATCTTGAGGAGCAGCAAAGAAGGTTAAATGTATTGACAGGAATGAGGCCTCTCAAGCTAATTGGTAACTACAAAACCTTAACCAATTGGATGGATAGCTGGAAGCCGGACGTTTCGAAAATTAGAAATAGAAAGGTCAGAAAGTACTACGAAGATCAAAATTATTTAATAGAAAGGTTTCAAGAAATCGATAATCTATTAGATTATGGTAGGATTCATATTAATATGCTCTCTAATTACAGTCATTCAGAAGTTCGTCAAAATAACAAAGACAACACTGATGAGGTTGAAGATAATCAAGTTGGGATCAAGATGAACACTAATACAACAAGCTATAATTCTATGATTTCTCACCGGTCGAGATTTAACGAAGTTCCTGGGAATGTTGAATTAGAAGGGGCTCACTTCTTAGGATACAATCAAGAAGAAATGTCACAAAATGTATTAGTTGCAATTATTGTTAACTTTTTCGTTAATTTTATCCTTTTGGTTGGTAAAATTGTTGTTTGCGCATTGACAAATTCTATTTCTGTTGTTGCATCGTTGGTTGATTCTATTTTAGACTTTCTCTCGACCTTTATCATTTTTATTGCTAATAAGTTATCAACTACCAAAACATGGAGAACTCAACATGCATATCCTGTTGGCAGATCGGGTCTAGAACCATTGGGTGTCTTAATTTTTTCGGTCATTATCATTATTTCATTTTTTCAAGTGGGACAGGAATCGTTTAAAAGGTTATTTATGAGCTTACCAGAGGATAGAAATACAGCACAAATTGGCCAAGGAGCAATTCTTATTATGTCTTTTACCATCTTGTGTAAAATTGGTTGTTGGGTTTGGTGCTCTAAAAGTAAGTCAAGTTCAGTTCAAGCTCTTGCACAAGATGCCATGACTGATATAGTGTTCAATTTTGTTTCTTTAATTATGCCAGCGGCTGGTCATTATTTGGATGTATGGTGGCTTGATCCATTGGGTGCATTTTTATTATCAGTCTACATCATAGTATCGTGGAGTAAGACGGCCTTCGAGCATATTGAGAATCTAACTGGTGCAGTAGCTAGTCCCTTGGATTATAAAGTCATATTATATTTATCCTATAGATTCGCTGAATCAATTAAGCAAATCACGTCGTTAAAAGTTTATCATGTTGGCGACAACTTGAATGTCGAAATAGATCTAGTTTTCGACAACGAAGAATTTAATTTATCGCTTAAAGACGTTCATGACATTGCTGAAGCATTGCAATATGCAATTGAAACGTTACCAATGGTAGAAAGGGCATTCGTACATATAGATTATATGGAAGGAAATTTTAGAGGTCATTTGAAATAATCGATGAAAATTAAATACGCATGTATATTAGATAATACATGTTAGATATGTATTGCTTATATCAAAGCAAGGATTAAAGCACCTAATGTAGCTCCAAATGGTGCGTAGAATACGTTAGCATCAGAACCAGCAGATGAACTAGAATCAGAACCAGCAGATGAACTAGAATCAGAACCAGCAGATGAGCTGGAACCAGAACCAGAGCCGGAGCCAGAAGATGAGCTGGAGCCAGAGCCAGAACCAGAACCAGAAGACTTGCTTCCAGAATCAGAGGATTTACTTCCAGAGCCACCTGAACCAGACGATTTGCTTCCAGCACCAGATGACTTACTACCAGAGCTGGACCCGGAGTTAGTTCCAGATGCAACACCAGATTCAGAAGAATCAGAACCAGAACCAGAACCAGATTCTTCACTACCTGCAGATCCACCCTGACCTAAACCCCCATTGTAGAATCCTCCAACACCAGCTACAGAACTTGCCCAGTTTTCATAGGAAGTAAACCACAGCTCGCCAATAGCGTTTGAAACATCAGCCGCATCAGTCAAATGCGCAAGATTTGAATACCATGGCTTATTAGTAAGATCTTCAGCAATAGTCTCGTATTGTTGAAATAATGAACCGTCAGTTTTATAAAGGTCGGCAATAGAATTGACAGCATCAGTGCCATAACTTTCATATAAATCTGTTAATCCGCCCAAATAGTCGGTGGTATCTGCAGCAAGAACCTTCGCTCCTAATGCGGCTGTAATAACTCCTGTTGATAATCTCATTTCTTACAATTGCATGTATATGTCCTAACATAAGCACTAAAAGCAGCAACCAATGCCTTTATATACATTTCGAATGTAAGGCCACAATATCCCCGCAGGTCCGTAAACCTTTTATTAGTGTGACATCCAAGTATCCATATTTTTACTATATTATTGCATAGGTCGCATTTGGTCAGAGGACTATTGTTCTCCAACTTAGGATTTTTCTTTTTATGACCCAAAAAATTATACGCCAAATATCTACTTAAATATTATAAGGGTCTGGGGCTTTGAAAATGAACAACTTGAAATATATTATGCTCAATTGACCACGCAATGGACTAATGAATTGTCCTATATAAATATATTTGGAAATTGCAAAATATAAAATAAACTAGAACAGGATTTAAACCCGGAGCTAACAACCTGCACGTACAGGAAATCAATACGAAAGATCAATTTGTCCGTTGAGGTAGTAAAATGATACATAGAATAAGAGTTATTGATACTCAACACGTGTGGCTCCTATTTATGGGCCACAAACTGTTTGTGCAACGCGTATCTTATTCCAAGTTCATACTTTGTGACGACATCATCCGTGTTTTGTTGAATTCTATGAAATTTAACTAGAAGAAGATTTATATCTTTTAGAACGGAGTCGAGGTTGCATATGTCAGAAACCAATTTCAGTTTTTTGGACCTTAAAAAAGACAAGATTTTGATTAAAAGGATGGTTGCGAAATAAAAGCAAAAATGTACTTGGTCCGACAAATACGCAAAGTACGAATCACTATCTATAACATTGACAAATTTAAGCAATTGACAGGCATGTGAAACCATCTCGCGTAGAGAGCGAGAATCACAATGGCGTAGAACGTAATCCACATTGTTATTGTCGAATATGTCAAAAGGCTGAGAGTTGGCATCAATCAACGTGGACTTGCGAAAATTGTAGGCGTAGATTACTGTCAAACCACAAAAGTGATAGCATAATTCCACAAATTGTAACGTCGGCTGATTGAAAATGTATTCCCATTGGTTGTACCATGTATGCATATCTTCCTTGGTGGCTTTAAAATTCATGTCACATTCTTCGAGAGTACTCGTAGTGATGTCATTCAAATTTATTTGAATGTAATTGTAAGTGATGAGCAAGATGCTTATTTCACTGACCATTCTCCCGTCGAAATTAGTAGAACTGGGTAAACTAAGCGTAGAAGTACAGTAGTTCAATCTTATTTCGTCAATCACACACATACGACCGGAGAAGATGCAATTGATCAAATGCACTAATGTAAGATGATTGAATATTCTTAGGGTCGTTAATGTTTGATATTCTTCACTATCTATTTCATCATAAAATATTGTAAATGGCAAGTCTGCATTACCAGTATTCTTGGGCCTTTGTAATAATGTTCCAAAAGTAGCTTTTGATATAAATGTTGTTAAGCCGATGCTTGAAAGATACCATGCGTCTAAATTCAATTCATGCGAAAGGCTATCATCTTTAAGATCAAGATTTAAAAGAGAAGAAGCAACCGATGATAATGATAAGGAATAGATCGAGAGAATGACTAATGCTTGCAAGAACTCAATATCACCTTTATTTGCCATTGGCTTTTGGAATGTTGTATATTCCAGCAACGAATCATTCAATTCTTTTGCCAACTGATTCATCAACAATCCATAGTTGGATTTCTTTTTGTCAAGGAAGAGTTCAGAATGGCTAGAGTTTGTCTGCTTAAACAGATACCTCAAGGACAAACAGCAGCACGTAGTTAAAAGCAATGGCGAATTATTTCTAATCCTTTCAACTAAAACATCAGTAGGCGTATTTGATGGAAACAGTACCCACCTTCCGTGGTTTCTTCTAAATTTATTCATTAAGTCAACAGCCTCTTCCTCAGTTAATAGCCCCAAAGTAATTATATCCTTTTTCTTTTTATATGCGGAGCAGTTATCTGGTTTTCTTTCAACAGTTGATAAATTAAGCAAGTTTAATATTGATTTTGGAATATTAGAGCTTTCATTTTGATTGCACACCATGGAAAATGGTGCCATTTTAAACGAATCTATAGGACAATTAAACAAGGGCCTTGAATCTGTATCGGTAATCGATTCAATTTCAGAAGAAACGTTACTTGCCATATTTGTCGTTCCATTTAATTTGGGCTTTTTTGACGAGGAAATGCTGGAAGGTAAGTCTTGTATATTCTTCAATGTACCACTAGCCGTAAGTAATAATTCTGCGTCGCTGCCACTAATATCTCCTTTCCCATTGTTGGCTTTTATTATAGATAGCAATTCGTTGATCCCAGCATGTATTAAGTCAAGCTTAGTTTTACTGTCTTCATCTTTGGATATTTCATTTTCTGGCAATGATGGGGATTGAGAAGGAACTTGGCCTTGATTAAATGAGCATTCTTTGTTAAGAAATAAACATCTGGAGCAGGATATTTCATCATTGGCGGATCTGAAACATCTAGTCTTTTGCTTGCGACATAAATCACAAGCTTTAGGTGTTCTGGTGGCCTGTGCAAATTTTCGATTATTTGTTTCTGTAATATTATTCGAGCCTTCTCCACCCTGCAGATGTATCTTCCTCTTTTTAGATAATTCATTAACCCCTTTCGTATGTCCTTCTTGTATTTCAGCACTCATATTACCATATTACCATATTTGGACTGGATTCGGTACATTTTGGTGTTAGATAAGACTGTTGATATTTTGTCGCGTTATCAGTGCAAATATTCTCTACGAAGTCCAGTTAAACGATATCATTTAATACACTTACATATATTTGTAAATTATACATATTCAATGCCTTTTTATTACTGAATATGACACAGGGTTCTTTTTAGGTATTATTGGATAATGAAAATTTAATATTTTCTATTATATTTTTGGTTAAATAATCATTCAAGAGATCTTGTACAAATGAAATAAAGAGATATGGGATCTTAAGAATCATTAAGATTACTTATGCTTTCAAAGTCGGCTAGCTCAATATACCACTAATTTAAAAAAATCACTTACTATACTATTAAAGTATCTTATACTTAATATATTCTGATTCGTTAGTTTCCAAGATCATGTCCATTTCGATAATTTTAACCCCTCTGTTAATCATTAAATGACTAAAATCGAACATGCCTTTGTAAGACAAAGTACCTTTCTCAACCTGGTACTTATCCTTGATTTTGAACTCACCCGTAAAGAGTACATCGTAGTCCTTGTTTGTATTTATGTGTTTACGTTCACTGATAGACTTCGCTTCTTTTATACCATTCTCCAAGAGCGACCCTGTCATTGACTCATCCGTATTTATTCTATCGAGTTTCAAACCTGCCAGTACTAGCGCATCATTTATTATCGAATTAAAATTCAACGGTTTAATAACCCAGCCCATATTTACCGATGAAACACCATTATTGTTTTCCATATTTATTTGAATTCCTGAGACAGATGGGTACTTTGTTTCTAGCCATATCTTAAATTTAGGGGTATCAAGATCTATACCTAGTGGCAATTTAAACATTTTCCTAATACTGTTGTTTAGCGATAATTCCTCTAGTACTTTATATTTGATATTCTCATCTATTAGAAGCTTTATAAAGTTTTTGACATCGGAAAAATCATTAGTTGAGTTTTGTTGGTTCATTTCCACCGTACAGTAGTCAAAATACTCTCTATCTAAGTATTTTAAATCCTTGGGAAATGAATATGTACTTTTAAATAGCCAATTGGCATTAAACCATAAAGGAAGAAATATTATTCTGTCATTACCATCCTGTTTAAATTTAATGAACTGAGAAATACCATAAACTCCTATAGCCAATGAGCTTGAACAGATAACTAGTAGCAATATAGTCCTAAATGGTAACTTTCTATTATCATGAACACTTGAATTACCATTTATGAATCCCATATTATTTTGCAAACTCGACCTTACAACATGTTCCCGTATTAATTGATCGTATTTCAGTCTTTCATATTCTTGTTTGAAGTTCTGTTTTGAAGAGTTGTATTCCCGAATCCATACCGATGAAATCTTGCTTGTACCAAATTTATTGATTGGCCCTTTACCTCGACATATTCTTATACTAGATTTCCGTACTGTTAAGCAGAAGTTTGCCAGTTTAGAACAGTACATCACCTTTGATCATAAGCATCTGTGTGTGAAGTATATATGATATAATGATTTATCTCCCCCATAAATATCGATCTTCCGATCTCGTGACGGTTTAGAGTTTAATTGCCGAATGTGCAAATAAATACAATTACCCCTGATATTACTAAACATCTATAAAGTTACAATAAGTTATACAATTGTTAATCTTCATCTTCTAAATCTGCCCAATTTGCTGAAGAACTAGTAAGTTTGCTAAACATGTCTCTAACTTCCTCTTTCAACTTCGCATCTTTCTGCTTTTGCAATCTTTCCTTTTCTTCCTGTTCCCTTCTGGCTTGTTCTTCTCGTTTCTGTTTAGGAGTTTGGTAAGCACCCTTTGGAGACTTTGGTTGTCTCGGAGTATTATTTGATTTCTTAGGATGCAGTTGTGTTTGTTTGAAGTTCTGTTTAGCCTTTGGTGGTTCAGGCTTAGTATTGGAGATTGATACCATACCTAATCTAGACGCAAGCGACTGTCCAGCACTTGTCATAGGTGGTAATTCTTCTTCTTCTTCCCCATCATCCTCACTTTCTACTATATCCTCAAATTCATCATCATCGTCATCAGTCACCTCTTCGTCAGTACTTTCAAAGTCATTGTCGTTATTATTGATCGTACCATTTGTTGAAGTTTTCGAAGGAGCACCCAATCTTGCAGCAAAGGAAGCACCAGCTTTGGACATCGGGACAGTTCGTTCTTCTTCTGATTCTTCGGCATCTTCGACTTTCTTAGCTGTAGGATGTTTTCTTTGGTTATTGTTTACAGCTGTCATATAACCACGAGGACCTCTTGGTGGGTTACCAGAACCACCTCGGGACACATGTGAATTATTTGAATTATTTGGGGATGCATCATTTTCTGCTGTAGAAGGAGGTGATGGTAACGAACCGTAGGCATCGTTCCCGTATCTCCTATCATTTCTTCCTTTATTTCCTCTTCCAGATTTGTTATATTTGAAAGAATCATCGAATTTATTATGATTATCTTTATAAGCTGAAACTTTAGAGGGCTCATTTGGAATATTTGCCCATTTACTTTCTAATGGCTTTGACGTATCGCTTTTGTTAGGAATTATCGTCTTCTTACTAGGTGTTCCATGTTTACGTGATTCACTATCTTGGACTTTTGCCTTATTGAATAATTCTTCTTCTGTAGCCCACTTAGAGGCCAATCCACTCATTTATACTGTATATATATTTATTTGTATCTTATAATTTCTTCATTAATTATGTCCAGAAATTTATTAATCTACAGATTTTGTGCGCATATCAATATTTCACCAAAGCTTCGTCTACGAAGTTCCAATGAAGACTACCTCCCAATAGACTGAAACAAAACATAAAATATCAATTGAGTCTTAATCTAGAGCATACATTTTACGACAATTCAGAAGTCTATAATAATCGTGACATAAGGTAATTCTCTAAACAATTTTGCAATCTTCACTTCATTTTATCTTCTCGTAGTGTACATTTGGGAATTATTTAATTCCAATACCACATGATTATGGTGGGGGATGTACAAAGTCAGGGTTCTATGACTCAATGGAACTATGTTATTCCAGTTCTAAGCTATGCCAACTTTTCACAGTCTATCTATATACAAATATTATAACTTTGGTACTCACTACAGAATAATAAGCCTTAAGTTAAAAGAACCATGTTACTATAAACATACTGCCCTGGTACATCTCTAGTAGTATACAACGTGCTAGAATGGGTGTAAATGGTATACAATTATTAATTAGTAATTGCGTAAGTGGGACAATTCCGCGAATATGGGATTAGATTATCCGCCTTTTCTGGAGTAGTATTGACCGAAAAGTTCTTCAACTCTTAAAATATCAATTCTTACAATTCTTTCAATTAATTGTATAAAGAAGTACAACAAGTATGTCACAATCTGAGTTGAAGTTAGCTACCGAGTTACCAGCTTGGAAGAAATTAGAAGCAATCTTTAAATCCAAGGGAGAAAAATTCCAAGTTAAAGAAGCTTTTGACAAGGACCCAAAGAGATTTGAAAAACTTGCTAAAACTTTCCAGAACTTCGATAATTCCAAGATTTTGTTTGATTTCTCTAAGAATTTGATTGATGACGAAATCTTAGAACAATTAGTTCAATTGGCTAAAGAAGCTAAAGTTGAAGAATTAAGAGATGCTATGTTCAACGGTGACAAAATCAACACTACTGAAGACAGAGCTGTTTACCATGTTGCTTTGAGAAACAGATCTAAGAAGGAAATGAAGGTCGACAACGTTGACACTTTCCCAGAAGTTGATGAAGTTTTACAACACATGAAGGAATTCTCTGAACAGGTTAGATCCGGCGAATGGACTGGTTACACCGGTAAGGCTATCACCGATGTTGTTAATATTGGTATTGGTGGTTCTGATTTAGGTCCTGTTATGGTCACCGAAGCTTTGAAGGCTTACGGAAAGCCAGGTTTAAACGTTCACTTTGTTTCAAACATTGACGGTACTCACATTGCTGAAACCGTTAAGAAATGTGATCCAGAAACCACTTTATTCTTGGTTGCTTCCAAGACTTTCACTACAGCTGAAACCTGTACTAATGCCAACTCTGCTAAGAAGTGGTTCTTAGCTAAGGCTTTAGATACCAAGCACATCGCCAAGCATTTCGCTGCTTTATCTACCAACGCTGAAGAAGTTGCCAAATTCGGTATTGACACCAAGAACATGTTTGGTTTTGAAAGCTGGGTCGGTGGTCGTTACTCTGTCTGGTCTGCAATTGGTTTATCAGTTGCTATCTACATTGGTTTCGACAACTTCGAAAGCTTCTTGAAGGGTGCAGAAGCCGTCGACAAGCACTTCGTCGAAACCCCACTTGAAGAGAACATCCCAGTGTTAGGTGGTTTATTATCTGTCTGGTACAACAACTTCTTTGGTGCTCAAACCCATTTGGTTGCTCCATTCGATCAGTACTTACACAGATTCCCAGCTTATTTACAGCAATTATCTATGGAATCTAACGGTAAGTCTGTCACCAGAGCAAATGTTTTTACTAACTACGAAACTGGTACCATTTTATTTGGTGAACCAGCCACCAATGCTCAACATTCGTTCTTTCAATTGGTGCACCAAGGTACTAAATTGATACCTGCTGACTTTATTTTGGCCGCCCAATCCCACAACCCAATTGAAAACAACTTACATCAAAAGATGTTGGCCTCCAACTTCTTCGCCCAAGCTGAAGCTTTAATGGTTGGTAAGAATGAGGACCAAGTTAAGAAAGAGGGTGCCACCGGTGGCTTAGTTCCTCACAAGGTTTTCTCTGGAAACAGACCAACTACTTCTATTTTAGCTCAAAAGATTACTCCAGCTGCTTTAGGTGCCTTGATTGCTTATTATGAACATCTTACTTTCGTTGAAGGTGCTGTATGGAACATTAATTCATTCGATCAATGGGGTGTTGAATTAGGAAAGGTCTTAGCCAAGGTCATTGGTAAGGAATTGGAAAACAACAACGAAAAAGTTGATACTCACGACCCATCTACCAAGGGCTTAATCAACCAATTCAAGGAATGGGCTGAATAGCTATTTATGCCAAAAACCCACTTATAACCTCTATCTATAGGCTTGTATGTAATCGTTCTTGAATAATGTACGACTTTTCTAATTTTATTCGCATGCAGTACTTGACATCGATTTTTTTTAGAGCATTTTTACCTCTTGAAGACTACTCTCTTGGTTTATATGCTCAAGATAATAGCTGATTTCCTATATATATCAGTAATAGACCAGTTAATAGGCTTGAGGGCGGACTTTATAAACTTTATCAATAATTTTGGCATTTGAGAAGTGAAAATTTGAATATAACACAGGATAAGATCATATAAGAAGTAACCAAAAATGTCAGACGAAGAGCTTCCACCACATTTACAAGAACAAGGAGAATTAGATAATCCATTAAGAGCAATAATAGTAGTTAATTCTGCTGACAGTCCTGAGGGTGATATGGAAGAAGCCTTATTGGACAGTGTTCAAAGTTTTGATGACATGAATGAATTTTTCGATAAATTCGATGAAAAAATCGCCATCCCTAACGAGGATCATATCAAATATGAGGTTGGAAGTGACGGACTTGTTGTAATTGTTGTCGACTCGGTTTCGTTGAGAGATAAGGCGTTAAAATTCATGGAAGACTACAGCATCAAGAATGAGGGCAAGACCTCAGAAGACGATGAAAATGATCAATCAGCAAAGAAGAAAAAGAAGTCTGAAGCTTGATTTACATTATCAGCTCTTGCTTGAATTTACCATCTCTTTCTGGTCCTCACAATTTGCACCTAGAAGGAGTTGGTCAATCTCATGTATATTTTTGAAAAGTTATGGATACAGAATTTTTTTTCCCTGTAACACATAGACCAAAACATTGTACACTAGTCATTTATATTTGCTACGTTTATATCCAATCGTATACTAATTGTCATCTAAGCTATATGACACTTGTAGCGAGTTTAAGCATAGTGTAGATTTTGAACACAAAACCGAGCCAACCCTTGAACTCACCGATCCGACTTTATTATAGACAGACCTTTATCTTATCATTAATATAAACTAAAAGATATAATATAACACAGTCATGGATAATTGGAGAAGAATTGATATTGATGCTTTAGAAACGGATAATCATTTATCAAAAGAAGACTTGATTCCTGATTTACCACCTGTATCGAATGAGGAAATAGTTTCATTATCAAAGCAATGCAGATCAGCATTGTCGCTGGGTCAATTCTTACAAGCATTAACTTTAGCATTAGATACTCCACCGTACGTTTCGGATGAGAAAACAAAAGAATTACACGCAGAGACAGTCTTTGAAGTTTTATGTTCCATTAGAAATAACCACAATACAAATGACTTGTCAAATTTCGTTAAACAATTGGACTCTAATCAACAGGATACATTGGTTAAATACTTGTACAAGAACATGAGTACCAGTTATGGTGCTAAACAAGGTGGATTGTTGTTGCATTGGTTTGAAAAGACAGTTGAAGTCACCGGATTGGGGCCAATTGTCCGTTTCATGGCAGATAGAAGGACTGTTTAAATTGTATACTACAAAATTAGCAATAAACAAAATGGTATTATATTATTTTTATATAGGTTGTAATTTATTAGTGTTCTTACTGTGCTTCTTTTTCTTGGATTTTTTGACTTTACTCAGGTTATTGATCTTATTTATGTGGGTACTCTTGTCAGAACTGAAAGTCTTATTTGTCTGGTTTTCGAGCTTAGATATATTGGAAGGTTGCAAAGGGTTGCTCTTATTGGTAGGTTTCGTTAGAGAAGTAGAACGAGGTTTATCTTCAAATATATCAGATCCCAGGAATTCCCGAGCGAATCCATCAGAACTTCCATTTTTAGCATTCAATTCAGATTTCAATTTTACAAGACCTTGGTCTTTGGACTTCATTATCTTATCGAATTTTTGGGACCATGAGTTATTTAACGTCTTGAATTTATATTTGTAAGTTTTCAATTCTTCGATAGACTTTGCATGCTTATTACTGATAAGCTTGTTCTCCGCAGTTAGTTGTTGCACTTCCGATTTCATGCTAGTTAATTCATGTTTCAAATTCTCTATAACCTGTTGATTTTCTGATGAATAATGTGATAACTTACTGAGCTCTTTCATTTTTATTTTGGTTTCAGATATCTCCAGGTCTTTTAACTCAATCTGCTTTTTCTGCTCAGCAATGAGAACTTTAGAAGATTTAATCTCATTTTCGTTAATATAT